AGCCTCATTGTATGCAGTAGGTACTCTGCTCTCTGATCTACCCACTCTACTCCTTTATAGGCACTCTCTAACCTACCCTACTTAATTCATGATATAGTACTGTATCGATATTTTGTTTTTAGATGATGACGATGGTGGTGATATTGGATCAATAATTTCCCAGTTATTAGGTGGTATCAATACAGATGGCTCTGACGGAAATAATCCTGATCAAGGTGTCCAATTAAACTTTGCATATATCATTTGCTTAAGCATGCAATTAATCCCTAATTCTGATGGATCATGGAGTTCCTATATGTGCCCCGGGGTGCTGTGTGTTTGATGTCAGTGGGTTGTCCTCGGACAGTGGTGTCTGCTTGATCGTGGTAGGCATTGTCTTCCTGGTGATCGCTGATTCTCATTCATGCATGTGCCCCCTTTTGTCTCTTTTTAAAAAAATGTAATTAATAAAGAATGTTATGCTTGTTAAATGTATATTAAATTTTTGTCAATTAATGCTGGGATGCCCTCGAAAGTGATTAAGTTCACTATTGGTTTCCCCCGGGTATTAATTTGAATTCTTTTCTGTATTGTATTATTTGTTCATTATTATTTGTTGTAAATGTTTACCGGAATAAATAAATAAATGAAATGAAATGCTAGCAAATCAAAATGAATGTGTAATTATAGCAAAGTAGAAATTCAATTTATATTATTATTCATTTTATTCTGCAACAACGATTTGTCAAAGATATCTAAACATGAACTCTGCAACTAGGTAAAAAAAGTGAGTAAATATTAAAATTTAAAAAATTACTATCATAAATATACATACATATCTTATATTATATATATTTGTTTATTTATTCATACAAAGGTGTTACAAATCCTGAGCGACATACTGATGGCGTGGGTGATGCTAATGGTGATAGTGGAGAAGTGAAAACTACTGGTAACATTGAGAGGCCTGGTAAATAGAAATGGTCTTATTGAAACTTGTTAAAGCATAAGTTTATAAATAATTTGTTTTTAGTTATCAAATAGGTGTCGGTTACAATATGAAGTATTGCTATGAACAGTATTACGATGAAGTAATACTTAATATACAGACTTAACAAAACACTAATAGGACACCATTTCCTAATTAATTCAAAGATGGTGCAAACCCCCTGCCGTATAGAGGTGGCGGTGGTGGGGATGGTGATGCTGACGACAGTGGAGAAGTACAAGATAACGGTAACATTTACAGGCAAGGTAAATATAATGGTACTTCAAATTAATGATAATTCCTAGAACATGCATACCTCCACCTTGTGCCTGAATACTAGATAAATATAATCAACCAAATGTTTAAATATCTGTAGCTCTGATCTTTGACCTTTTCATATTCAGACCACCATGTCTGTATCCACTGATTTTTACATGATTATTAGAAAATCATAGGGTATTTTCAACGTTGAAAACAAAATGATCACTAAATTTTGCATTGAGTCAAATTATTTAGATGATTATAAATCATAAAAAATAGTTTTATAACCTATTTGCCCCAGATTGCCAAAGAAAACCATTCAAATTAGGCCTATAATAGCCGATTTTGTGTCCGGTTTTGACTAATTTACTGTGTTACGGGTGTGCAATGAACAGTTCAGTGTGAGCAAATTACGGTACATTTTCATTATAAAATATGATTTTACAACATACTAAAACACCAGTTTTTAATTAATTCAAAGGTGATTCAAATCCCGTGCCGTATACAGGTGGTGGTGGTGGAGATAGCGATGACAGCGGAGAAGTACAAGCTTCCGATAACACTTACAGGGCAGGTAAATATAATTGTACTTCAAGTTATTGATAACTTCTACAATATGCATACTTCTACCCTGTAATATCAGGTATTATAGTCAACCAAAAATTTGACTTTCCTTGGCTATTACCTTTGACCTTTTCATATTTAGACAATCATGTAATACTCCGTTAATTTATACAATGATCTCATTCGTCGGGTTTTTTTTTCAAATATTAAAAAAATCTGTGTCTCCTATTTAGGCCTATTATTTATTATTAATTTTTTCGTCAAACACCAATTTTGTGTCTTAAAAAAATCAGTCGCAGTTAAAAAATAGGTTGCAGTTAAAAAAATAGGTTATTTGGGTACAGTAATTGAGATTGTTTGGATTAAGTAATACCTAATGATTTTATAACACACAAAAACAACAGTTTTTAATTAATTCAAAGGTGATGCAAATCCCGTGCCGTATACTGGTGGCGGTGGTGGAGATAGTGATGACAGCAGAGAAGTACAAGCTACCGGTAACACTTACAGGGCAGGTAAATATAATGGTACTTCAAGTTATTGATAACTCCTACATTATGCACTCTACCCTGTAATATCAGGTAATACAGTCAACCAAAAATTTGACTTTCCTTGGCTATTACCTTTGACCTTTTCATATTTAGACAACCATGTACTACTCCGTTAATGATCTCATTCGTTAGGTTTTTTGTTGAAATATTAAAAGTCTGTATCTCATATTATTTATTATTAAATTTTTCGTCAAACACCAATTTTGTGTCTTAGAAAATTCAGTTGCACAACGTGCCAATTTTTTCCTCAGTAGCCTGGTTTTACCTTTGAACTTTGATCTTTTCACCACAAATTTAATAACATTTTCTTACCCACATGTTCCAAATCCACTAAATTTTATGATGATCATTGGTTAGTTTTTGCAAAATTCTGCTAATAAAAAAAACAGACAAACAGCAGTAAATACATTGGCGGAGATAATACTTGTGATTGCTGTTGAAACAAGAGTAACAAGTAATATAAAGGCCAAAAACACGACTATAAAAGTCATTTTTATATGTATACAAAGCTGGTACAATTCCCCTGCCGTATAAACGTGATGGTGGTGGTGGTGGTGATGGTGATGATGACAGTGGAGAAGTAAAATACTGGTAACATTTACATCCCAGGTAAAATGTACCATTGTTTTTAATAACAACTGCTAGAACATACTTAGTAATTGGATATTTAATCATGTTTACAATCATTTATACAAAGGTGGTACACATCCCCGGCCTTATAAAGTTGGCGGTGATGACAGTGGAGAAGTACAAACTACTGGTAACAAATACAGAAGGCCAGGTAAAATATACCATTTTTCTTAATAACAACTGCAAAGATATACTTTAGATATTTAATAATGTATCTGTTTACAATCATTTCTTGTGATAAAAAGGGATTAGGTAAAGAAAGATCTCTTTCTAATTTTATATAAAGGTGGTACAAATCCTCAGTTATATAGAGGTGGCAGTAGTGATGGGGATGATGATGACAGTGGAGAAGCACAAACTAATGGTTACATGGAGAGGCCAGGTAAATATCTTAGTTAACTATTGATAACTGTTAGATGATTAATAATTATTTTAATAATTCTTTGTTGGTCCACATTCTAATAAGAAATCAGAAATTCTAGTTGGGTCCCTGGGGACTCACGGCAGTTGCAGTGCAGTGCTACCCGCCTTAGCTACAAACAACATAACGGGCAAAAACGGATGCAAACATTGTTCTTGACTCGCCTAATTCATTATATGAGGGTTATTCGAGGAGCCAAGCAAAGACAATAACTCTCAGCCAACCGCTGAACACTATGGTAATAATGTTATTCAAAAATGTTTTTGATTACTATTATTACAGCTATAGCAAGTTAAAAACTCAAGGACAAGGGAGAATAAAATGACGAAATAACAAACAAATGAAATACTAAACAAAATAATTTCTATTTTTATAGGTGGTAAAAATGTCAGGCCGTATAGAGGTGGCGTTAATGGCAATAATGATGACAGTGGAGAACAAACTACTAGTTACATTGACAGACCAGGTAAATATTATTGATAATTCCTAGAGCTAATGTCCAGCTGAGTAGTAGTCCCCGATTTAGGGGACACTAATTGTCTGCAATAATACAACTTAATACAACAAAAAACACATAGTTTAGTTTAATCAAATTCAATAGAATTCTACTAACATTAATTTTAAACGCAATTATAATATGGTTATCCAGTAATTAATTGTTAATACTCTCATCATAAATTTAATTTAAACAACCAACCTTGTACATTGCTTCTTACAATTGAATATTGCTTTATAATTCAAGTTGTATTGGATCAACAAATAATTCTTTTTATGATAAAAATCTTTTGTTAGATTCATATTATAGCAAAGGAAGATTGAGTAGATTAAAATACATGAAATCAAAATCCAGGTTATGGATTGAAATTCCATAAAGAGGTACTTTTTATCTGTATGTGGATGCTAATGGTAAATTGGAGAAAGAAATAAAATAGAACACTATTTTTATTCTTTGCCGTGGAAACTTCCTGGCAAACCTATTTAAAGGACAGCAAAGAAGAGTTGTCAATAAAATTATAAATTCATCCACGTCAAAAAGCGGACCGAAAATGTAGGCTTATCCCTGCAATAGAAGACTTAAGCATAGGGAAAATTGATAAACAAAGTGAAAATACCGGTTAGAAAAGGCGTTGAAATATTGTGATATTAGAAATAAAAGCCTATTTTCTATTTAAATGTCTAACTGCTTGATTACGGACCATATTCTGATAATTACTTTTAATTACTTTTACAGATATTTCAACAAGAACCGATTTTCCTGCTAATGCAGAAAAAAATCTGCACTTAGGAGCACGTCCGGGTGATAGAAACGCTGACAGTCCAAATAACAAAACTGACAAAACCAGCGTAAATCCAAATTCTGAAAACGGATGGAATACTCCGAGAAGGACAGACAGTTATCCAAATGCCAATAATCCTGTTTCCCCCATTGCTACTGGTAATAACAATGGTGGCGAACCAGTAACATCTCCTGGCAACACTAATGGAAATACTAGCTCCAATAGCGATAGTAGTAGCAGTAGTAGTAGTAGTAGCAGCAGCAGTAGTAGTAGCAGCAGCAGCAGTAGTAGTAGTAGCAGTAGCAGTAATAGTGGTACATTTTATCCTGTATCAGGAATTGTACCTTACCCAATAAACCCCAATCAAGGAACTCGCACTGGGTGGCATCTCGAAAGGGACAGCACTATTACCGGTGGTTTTCCACGAACTGGCTCAAATTGGTATCCGCAGCAAGTAGAACCTACCACTGGTACATTTGCAGGCACTGATACTAGTAGGTATCCACAACAAAATATACCTAACACCGGTGTTTATCCAAATGGATATCCCCAAACAGGATCACATATTTTTGGTTCTACAGATACAAATCCCTATAGAAGTGCGCCTAACAATGGCGAGTATTCTGGAAGTAGAATTGGTTGGTATCCTCAACAAAGAGGAACACCTAACACTAGAATTGTTCAAGGTGGCACAGGGAGATACAATGAAGGCGGTATCGGAAGGCCCACTGGTGGGTATGCTGATCAAAACGGACCTACCAATAGTGCTTATCCAGAGGGTGACACAAACAGATATCCCGAACAAAGAGGACCTAACAATGGTGCAAATAAAGATGGAAGAACCGATACATATACAGGCAGAAGTAATACTCACAGATGTCCAGATAGTGCTCAAACAGGCATTGGAAACAGCCACTACCCAAGAAGTGACACAGGATTTCGAACCTACTCAGGTACTAGAGCAGGAACAAATCCAGCAGGAAGTCCTGCTAGAGGATTTCATACCGAGAGTGATACAACTGAAACCTCTCTTGGTCGTAACCCAGATAGAAATACTGAAACTGGAACTAATCTAGACAGTGGTGGTCGGGACACAAGCGTCTATCCATATAGTACAGGAAACACTGCTTATTCAGATAGTAGTAATTATCCAGTGAGTGACACAGAAGCTGGAGGATATCCTCAGCGTGACACTATAACTCAGGCCTACTCCGACCGTGGTATGAGAACCAAAGACTATTCAAATTATGGTCCACAAACACCGAGAGACTATCCAAACAGCGCTGTAAACAATGGAGAATATCCAGTCAGTGGTACATACCCTGCCAGTGGAACTCGAACATATCACGGGAGTGGTACTGGCATGGAAGTACATCCAGGTACTGCAGAATACCCTGGTAGTGGAACAACCCCAAGAACCAACCCAGGCAGTGGTACTAGGACAGGGGTAAGTCCTAAAAGCAGTAGTCCTGGAACAGGAAGAAGTACCGGAGCATACCCAGGTAGCGGTAGAAATCCAAGAATAAAGCCAAACAGTGAAACCGGAAGCTACCACGGTGGTGATACTAGAACATGGAGTGACCCTAGAACTGCCCTTTATCCAGCTCCTGGTACGGGTACTGTCTCATATCCTGGGTCCGAGGCCAATCCCGCCAGAGGTACTGGAACTGGGACAAATTCAAATAGTTGTACTTGTGCCCAAACACATCCAGATAGTAGTACAAGAGCAACGGTAAATCCAGAGAACAGGAGTGGAACAAAAAGTAATCCAGAGAGTAATACTGAAACCAGTACTTATCCAGACAATGATGCTAGTACGAAAAGCTATCCTGGTCATGGTACTAGTACTCAAGAGTATCCCGAAAGCGGCATTGAACCTGTTGTATATTCAGGTCGTCATTCAGGTAATGGAGCATATAAAAAAATCAGCGGCTATCCACATAGTCGTATAGGAACCGCAGCCTATCCTAATTATGGTACTGGAACAGCTACAGTCTATCCAGGAAGACGTACACTATCTCAACCCTTCCCTATCGGCGGTGGTATTGGTGCGGGCGTCCATCAGGATCTTGGTACTAGTACTGAAGCATATCCAGAGAAAAGCACAGGAGCAATTAATTCAGGGAGCAGAACTGGAACTGGAACATACCCCAACATGGATAGAGGGACTACACATTATCCGGAGAGTGGCATTAAAACTGAAGTTTACTCAGACCGTGGTACAGGGACTGGAGTATATCCAAGTAGTGGCACTGTAGCTGGTAATTATCCAAGCAGCGATGCCAGTCCTGCAAGCTATCCAGAACGCAGTATTGGTAATAGAACTTATTCTGAGAGTGGCCATGGAATTGGTATTGGAAACGGAGCATATCCCGATATTGACAGTGGACCCGCAATCTATCCAGAGAGTGGCATCAGAACAAGAGCATACCCAGGTAATGGTCGAGGAACAGGCACTGATTCTAAAGCTGGGACATACCCAGACATTAATACAAGAACTAACCAAAACAGTGGCACAAAAACTGTGGAATACCCAGGGCGCAATGATGGTACAAGAGTTAATCACGAAAGTGGTACAGGGCATGAAGCATATCCAAGTAGTGGTACTGGAACTGCAGGTACCCACTCAGGCACCGACACTCGTATTGGAGGCCATCCAGAACGTGGTATTGGTACTAGAGCTTATCCAGAGAGTGCCACTGAAACTGACGGTAACCAAGGTCGTGCAACAGATACTGGATATCCAGAAAGTGGTACTGCAACCGGAGCCTATCCCGAAAGTGACAGTAGAACCGAAAAATATCCGGACAGTGGTACCGGAACCGGGGCATATCCTGGAAGTGGTAGAGTAAGAGGAACCGATTCTGAATCTAGGACATACCCAGACATCAATGGAAGAACTAACCAAAATAGTGGCACAAGAACTGGAGCCTACCCAGGCCGGGATACTAGTACAGTGGCATATCCAGGTAGTGGTAGAGAAACAGGAACTGATTATAAATCGGGTACATACCCAGACATCAATACAAGAACGAATGAAAACGGTGGCACTATAACTGGAGCCTACCCAGACCGGGATACTGGTACAAAAGTCAATCCCAATAGTGGTACAGGGTTTGACGCATATCCAAGTAGTCGTACTGGAACTGGTACCTATCCAGACAGCGATACCACTGCTGGAGGCTATCCAGAACATACCGTTGGTACTAGAACTTATCCAGAGAGTGGAACTGGAACAGCTGGTAACTCTGGTCGTGGTACTGATACCGGAATATATCCAGAGAGTGGTACTGGAACCGCAGCCTATCCTGATAGTGATACTGGAACCGGCACCTATCCCGATAGTGGCACAAGAACGGGGGTATATCCAGATAGTGGAAAAGAAACAGGAACTGATTCTGAAACTGGGACATACCCAAACATCAATGCAAGAACTAACAAAAATAGTGGCACTAGAACTGGGGCCTACCAAGGCCGAAATAGTGGTACAGGGTATGGCGCATATCCAAGTAGTGGTACTAGAACTGGTACCTATCCAAGCAGCGATACTAGTGCTACAGGATATCCAGAACGTGCTGTTGGTACTAGAAATTATCCAGAGAGTGGTACTGGAACAGCTGGTTACCATGGTCGTGGTACTGATACCGGAATATATCCAGAGAGTGGTACTGGAACCGCAGCCTATCCTGATAGTGATACTGGAACCGGGACCTATCCCGATAGTGGCACACGAACGGGGGCATATCCAGATAGTAGAAAAGAAACAGGAACCGATTATGAAACTGGGACATACCCACACATCAATGCAAGAACTAACCAGAATAGTGGCACTATAACTGGGGCCTACCCTGACCGGGATACTGGTACAAAAGTCAATCCCAATAGTGGTACTGGGTACGGCACATATCCAAGTAGTGGTACTGGAACTGGTACCTATCCAGGCAGTGATACTAGTGCTGGAGGCTATCCAGAAAGTGGTATTAGTACAAGAACTTATCCAGAGAGTGGTAATAAAAGAGCTGGTTACCCTGGTCGTGGTACTGGTACCGAAATATATCCAGAGACTGGTACTGGAACCGGAGCCTATCCAGAAAGTGGCACAAGAACAGGGGCATATCCAAGTAGTGGAAAAGAAACAGGAACCGATTCTGAAACTGGGACATACCCAGACATCAATGCAAGAACTAACCAAAATAGTGGAACTATAACTGGGGCCTACCCTGACCGGGATACTGGTACAAAAGTCAATCCCAATAGTGGTACAGGGTTTGACGCATATCCAAGTAGTGGTACTAGAACTGGAACCTATCCAGGCAGCGATACTAGTGCTACAGGATATCCAGAAAGTGCTGTTGGTACTAGACCCTATCCAGTGAGTGGTACTGGAACAGCTGGTTACCCTGGTCGTGGTATTAATACCGGAATATATCCAGAAAGTGGTACTGGAACCGGAGCCTATCCAGATAGTGATAGTGAAACCGGAACCTATCCAGACAGAGGCACAAGAAAAGGTAGTGGAAAAGGAACAGGAACCGATTCTGAAACTGAAACATACCCAGACATCAATGCAAGAACTAACCAAAATAGTGGCACTAGAACTGGGGCCTACCCAGGTCGGAATACTGGTACAATAGTAAATCCCAACAGTGGTTCAGGGTATGGCACATATCCAATTAGTGGCCGCGATACTAGTGCTGGAGTCTATCCAGAAAGTGCTATTGGTACTAGAACTTATCCGGAGACTGGTACTGGACAAGCTGTTTACCCTGGTCGTGGTACTGATACCGGAATATATCCAGAGAGTGGTACTAGAACCGGAGCCTATCCAGATAGTGATAGTGGAACAGGAACCTATCCAGATAGTGGCACAAGAACTGGGTCATATCCAGGTAGTGGAAAAGAAACAGGAACCGATTCTGTAACTGGGACATACCCAGACACCAATGCAAGAACTAACCAAAATAGTGGCACTAGAACTGGGGCCTACCCAGACCGGGATACTGGTACAAAAGTCAATCCCAATAGTGGTACAGGTTTTAGCGCATATCCAAGTAGTGGTACTGGAACTGGTACCTATCCAGGCAGCGATACTACTGCTGGAGGCTATCCAGAACGTACTGTTGGTACTAGAACTTATCCAGAGAGTGGTACTGGAACAACTGGTTACCCTGGTCGTGGTACTGATACCGGAATATATCCAGAGAGTGGTACTGGAACCGGAGCCTATCCAGATAGTGATAGTGGAACCGGAACCTATCCAGATAGTGGCACAAGTACAGGGCCATATCCAGGTAGTGGAAAAGAAACAGGAACCGATTCTGAAACCGGGACATACCCAGACATCAATGCAAGAACTAACCAAAATAGTGGGACTATAACTGGGGCCTACCCAGGCCGGCATACTGGTACAATAGTCAATCCCAACAGTGGTACAGGGTATGGCGCATATCCAAATAGTGGTACTGGAACTAGGGCCTACCCAGGCCGGCATACTGGTACAATATTGAATCCAAACAGTGGTACAAGGTATGGCGCATATCCAAGTAGTGGTGCTGGAATTGGTACCTCTCCAGGCAGCGATACTAATGCTGGAGGCTATCCAGAAGCTGCTGTTGGTACTAGAACTTATCCAGAGAGTGGTACTGGAGCAACTGGTTACCCTGGTCGTGGTACTGATACCGGAATATATCCAGAGAGTGGTACTGGAACCGGAGCCTATCCAGATGGTGATAGTGGAACCGGAACCTATCCAGGTAGTGGCACAGGAACAAAGGCATATCCAGGTAGTGGCAAAGAAACAGGAACCGATTCTGAAACTGGGACATACCCAGACATCAATGCAAGAACTAACCAGAATAGTGGCACTACAACTGGGGCCTACCCAGGTCGGCGGAATACTGGTACAATAGTCAATCCCAACAGTGGTACAGGGTATGGCACATATCCAAATAGTGGTACTGGAACTGGTACTTATCCAGGCAGCGATACTAGTGCTGGAGGCTATCCAGAAAGTGCTATTGGTACTAGAACTTATCCAGAGAGTGGTACTGGAACAGCTGGTTACCCTGGTCGTGGTACTGATACCGGAATATATCCAGAGAGTGGTACTGGAACCGGAGCCTATCCAGAGAGTGATAGTGGAACAGGAGCCTATCCAGATAGTGGCACAAGAACAGGGGCATATCCAGGTAGTGGAAAAGAAACAGGAACCGATTCTGAAACTGGGACATACCCAGACATCAATGCAAGAACTAACCAAAATAGTGGCACTAGAACTGGGGCCTACCCAGACCAGGATGCTGGTACAAAAATCAATCCCAATAGTGGTACAGGTTTTAGCGAATATCCAAGTAGTGGTAGTGGAACTGGTACTTATCCAGGCAGTGATACTACTGCTGGAGGCTATCCAGAACGTACTGTTGGTACTAGAACTTATCCAGGGAGTGGTACTGGAACAGCTGGTTACCCTGGTCGTGGTACTGATACCGGAATATATCCAGAGAGTGGTACTGGAACCAAAGCCTATCCAGATAGTGATAGTGGAACCGGAACTTATCCAGATAGTGGCACAAGTATAGCGCCATATCCAGGTAGTGGAAAAGAAACAGGAACCGATTCTGAAACCGGGACATATCCAGACATCAATGCAAGAACAAACCAAAATAGTGGGACTAGAACTGGGGCCTACCCAGGCCGGCATACTGGTACAATAGTCAATCCCAACAGTGGTACAGGGTATGGCGCATATCCAAATAGTGGTACTGGAACTAGGGCCTACCCAGGCCGAAATACTGGTACAATATTGAATCCAAACAGTGGTACAGGGTATGGCGCATATCCAAGTAGTGGTGCTGGAACTGGTACCTCTCCAGCCAGCGATGCTAGTGCTAGAGGCTATCCAGAACGTGCTGATGGTACTAGAACTTATCCAGAGAGTGGTACTGGAGCAGCTGGTTACCCTGGTCGTGGTACTGATAGCGTAATATATCCAGAGAGTGGTACTGGAACCGGAGCCTATCCAGATAGTGATAGTGGAACCGGAACTTATCCAGATAGTGACACAAGAACAAGGGCATATCCAGGTAGTGGCAAAGAAACAGGAACCGATTCTGAAACTGGGACATACCCAGATATCAATGCAAGAACTAACAAAAATACTGGCACTAGAACTGGGGCCTACCCAGGTCGGAATACTGGTACAATAGTCAATCCCAACAGTGGTACAGGGTATGGCGCATATCCAAATAGTGGTACTGGAACTGGTACCTATCCTGGCAGCGATACTACTGCTGGAGGCTATCCAGACATCAATGCAAGAACTAACCAAAATAGTGGCACTAGAACTGGGGCCTACCCAGGTCGGAAGACTGGTACAATAGTCAATCCCAACAGTGGTACAGGGTATGGCGCATATCCAAATAGTGGTACTGGAACTGGTACCTATCCAGGCAGCGATACTAGTGCTGGAGGCTATCCAGAAAGTGCTATTGGTACTAGAACTTATCCAGAGAGTAGTACTGGACCAGTTGGTTACCCTGGTCGTGGTACTGATACCGGAATATATCCAGAGAGTGGTACTGGAACCAGAGCCTATCCAGATAGTGATAGTGGAACCGGAACCTTTCCAGATAGTGACACAAGAACAGGGGCATATCCAGGTAGTGGCAAAGAAACAGGAACTGATTCTGAAACTGGGACATACCCAGACATCAATGCAAGAACTAACCAAAATAGTGGCACTAAAACTGGGGCCTACCCAGACCGGGATACTGGTACAAAATTTAATCCCGATAGTGGTACAGGTTTTAGCGCATATCCAAGTAGTGGTACTGGAACTGGTACCTATCCAGGCAGCGATACTACTGCTGGAGGCTATCCAGAACGTACTGTTGGTACTAGAACTTATCCAGAGAGTGGTACTGAAGCAGCTGGTTACCCTGGTCGTGGTACTGATACCGGAATATATCCAGAGAGTGGTACTGGAACCGGAGCCTATCCAGATAGTGATAGTGGAACCGGAACCTATCCAGATAGTGACACAAGAACAGGGGCATATCCAGGAAGTGGCAAAGAAACAGGAACCGATTCTGAAACTGGGACATACCCAGACATCAATGCAAGAACAAACCAAAATAGTGGCACTAGAACTGGGGCCTACCCAGGTCGGAAGACTGGTACAATAGTCAATCCCAACAGTGGTACAGGGTATGGCGCATATCCAAATAGTGGTACTAGAACTGGTGCCTATCCAGGCAGCGATACTACTGCTGGAGGCTATCCAGAAAGTGCTATTGGTACTAGAACTTATCCAGAGAGTGGTACTGGACCAGTTGGTTACCCTGGTCGTGGTACTGATACCGGAATATATCCAGAGAGTGGTACTGGAACCGGAGGCTCTCCAGATAGTGATAGTGGAACCGGAACCTATCCAGATAGTGACACAAGAACAGGGGCATATCCAGATAGTGGCAAAGAAACAAGAACTGATTCTGAAACTGGGACATACCCAGACATCAATGCAAGAACTAACAAAAATACTGGCACTAGAACTGGGGCCTACCCAGGTCGGAATACTGGTACAATAGTCAATCCCAACAGTGGTACAGGGTATGGCGCATATCCAAATAGTGGTACTGGAACTGGTACCTATCCAGGCAGCGATACTAGTGCTGGAGGCTATCCAGAAAGTACTATTGGTACTGGAGCTTATCCGGAGAGTGGTACTGGAGCAGCTGGTTACCCTGGTCGTAGTACTGATACCGGAATATATCCAGAGAGTGGTACTAGAACCGGAGCCTATCCAGATAGTGATAGTGGAACCGGAACTTATCCAGATAGTGACACAAGAACAGGGGCATATCCAGGTAGTGGCAAAGAAACAGGAACTGATTCTGAAACTGGGACATACCCAGACATCAATGCAAGAACTAACCAAAATAGTGGCACTAAAACTGGAGCCTACCCAGACCGGAATACTGGTACACAATTCAATCCCAATAGTGGTACAGGTTTTAGCGCATATCCAAGTAGTGGTACTGGAACTGGTACCTATCCAGGCAGCGATACTACTGCTGGAGGCTATCCAGAACGTACTGTTGGTACTAGAACTTATCCAGAGAGTGGTACTGGAGCAGCTGGTTACCCTGGTCGTGGTACTGATACCGGAATATATCCAGTGAGTGGTACTGGAACCGGAGCCTATCCAGATAGTGATAGTGGAACCGGAACCTATCCAGATAGTGACACAAGAACAGGGGCATATCCAGGTAGTGGCAAAGAAACAGGAACCGATTCTGAAACTGGGACATACCCAGACATCAATGCAAGAACTAACCAAAATAGTGGCACTAGAACTGGGGCCTACCCAAGTCGGAAGACTGGTACAATAGTCAATCCCAACAGTGGTACAGGGTATAGCGCATATCCAAATAGTGGTACTGAAACTGGTACCTATCCAGGAAGCGATACTAGTGCTGGAGGCTATCCAGAAAGTGCTATTGGTACTAGAGCTTATCCAGAGAGTGGTACTGGACCAGTTGGTTACCCTGGTCGTGGTACTGATACCGGAATATATCCAGAGAGTGGTACTGGAACCGGAGGCTCTCCAGATAGTGATAGTGGAACCGGAACTTATCCAGATAGTGACACAAGAACAGGGGCATATCCAGGTAGTGGCAAAGAAACAGGAACTGATTCTGAAACTGGGACATACCCAGACATCAATGCAAGAACTAACAAAAATACTGGCACTAGAACTGGGGCCTACCCAGGTCGGAATACTGGTACAATAGTCAATCCCAACAGTGGTACAGGGTATGGCGCATATCCAAATAGTGGTACTGGAACTGGTACCTATCCAGGCAGTGATACTACTGCTGGAGGCTATCCAGAACGTACTGTTGGTACTAGAACTTATCC